GATGCGGGACTCCATCCAGGGACTCCAGGAACATGACCTGAGCCGAAGGCAGTCGCTTAACCGAGTGAGCCACCCAGGCGCCCCAGAGAGCATTTTAATTTTAAAAAGGTATCTGATAAACTTAGTTGGGACCATGTAGACAAGATGAAGAAATATGCGTTAGAATATACAATAACAGATAACAGCTTAACATTACAAAACTGCTGATATCCGGCTGTTCTTGATCTACAAAAACAGAAATTTCATAGGTTCAAAAAAGAGATTCTTAATTGGTTGATTACTCAGGGCGCCTAGGTGGCTCAGTCGTTAAGCGTCTGCCTTTGGCTCAGGTCAGATCCCAGGGTCCTGGGATCGAGCCCCGCATCAGGCTCCCTGCTCTACGGGAAGCCTGCTTCTCCCTCTCCCCCTCCCCCTGCTTGTGTTCCCTCTCTCGCTGTGTCTCTGTCAAATGAATAAATAAAATCTTTAAAAAAAAAATTGGTTGATTACTCATATCAAAAAATACTACAAAAAAAAGTCAGCAAGAGAGAGGTCTAAGAGTATGCTGAAGTACCTGCTTTCAATCCTTGCAGCAGATTGTATTTTCCAAACATGGTCACACCTATATATTTATCCTATCCCACATGCTTTTCTTACAATGTGACTGATACTCCTTCCACAAAGAAATGGGATCAATATTCCCCTCCTGCCCTCAGATGTGTGTGGGTGCTTATGTCTGCCCCAGCCAACGGAGTGTGCTATGTGACTATCTAGACTGTTACAACAATACAACTTTCAACTAGTGTTCTTTTTCTCTTGGGACATTTGTCCTTGGAACCCAGTCACATGTTGCAGGGAAGCCAAGGCGACATGGGGAGACCACATGTGGTGTTCTGGCCAACAAGCCTAGCAAAGCCCTCAGCCTACAGCCAGCATCAACACCAGACATATAAGTGAATGTGCCTTCAGATGATTCTAATCCCCAATCTTTGAATACTCCAGGTAACGCCCCAGACATCACAGTGCAAAGATGAAATAGTCCAGCTATGCCCAACTTTATTCCTGACACACACACAAACCGTAAGAAATACTTATTGTCATTTCAAGCCATGAAGTTTTAGAGTAAATTGTGAGGCAGCAATAACATACTTCTGTTATTTTGAACATTTTTTTCAATAATTTGGCAGAAAACAGACACACACAAACACATACCAAATTAGCAAAGGACAAGATTATGAAGGATTGCCAACACTTTGGATGTTAGTATTAGAATTAAAATTATTTTAAAAGATTAGACCAAAAGGCCAAAACTAATATAATGAAATTTGCCAGAGAAGAAAATATCGCTCATTTAGGCTGAGATTAAATAAATATAGGGTAAGGCAGAAGTGGATTAAAAGTAATTCATGTGAAAACCTAAGAATTTTCACTGACCAGTAGCTTAACAAGAAACTATGGTCTATCTTAGCTGGCAAAACACTATGCTGAGTAAGAAAGATGTTCAGATCAAAGTAAGTAATAAAATGACTATACTTAGACCACGTCCAGTTCTGGTACATTAATTTTTTTTCTTAAATGCATTTTTATTAGAACCTCAATAATAATTCTATAATTACTATCCTTTTTATAATGTTTACTGTGGGCCAGGCATTGTCCAGATGCCTTGTGTATAGTAACTCATTTAATCCTCACAGTACCCCTAGGAGACAGGAATCATTGTTATCTCCATCTTATAGATCAAGAAACTGATACAGATCAAGCGACTGGCCTAAGTCCTAGAGCTGGTAAGTGCGAGAGGTGTGATGGTCTAGTATTTCAAATGTGCTATGGGCAACCAAGAGAAGAATCAGGAGGGTAATCAGCATGTACAGGGTTAGAAGCCAAGTCCTATAAAGAATAATTAGGACAACTGGGTAAGTTTAGTTTGGGCAAGAGAGGCCTTAGAGACACATGAAAGCAGTCCTTCAATATTTTCCAAGAGTTGAACAGTGGGAAGAGAAAGTGGGATTACTCTAGAACTAGGGATAATGGGAAAAAGTAACAAGAAGGAAAATTTGGGCTCAAGAATAAGGGAAGATTTTCTCAACAACAGCAATTTCCAAAATAAGTCTTATGTCACTTGAAGTGTTCAAAAAGAAGTCGCATTCCTAGATTTAGAAAGAGGATGATTTACAGCAGTGCTTCTCAATCTGTGGTGAAAGATCAGTTTGGTTTTTTACCCCCAATCTTTCACAGACTTACACTTTTGCTCTATACCATGTTTAATGAGATAAGTCCAGTGATCACATGCTTGGATGTCACGGCTATGTCAAACTGTTAAGAGTTTTTAAACATATATTCTTAATTTCTGTACTTCTCTCATTGTGAATTAATAACAACCAATTCTCAGACAGGCATCAGGCTGTGGACCAGTTTGAGCAGTACTGCTCCAGACCTCTTTATTCTGGTATCACGATCACACTGCTGTTCAGTGACACCTTTGGCTATTAAAAAGTGAAGTGCTAAAAGTTAACAGATTTTCTCCTATGTATTAAAAAAATGCCCAAAAACCCAACAACATATTTTTCCCCCCTCCCACCTTAAAATTATTGTTAGTATACCTAAACAGCATTTAGGATTACTGGGTGACTGTTTCTACTCAAACTATAATTTATCAGGAGTATTTTTACATTTCAAAATCATTTTTAGGTTAGGACAGCATTATTCTCTCAATAATGAGCCTAGAAAAAATAAAAACATTAACATAATTATGAAGCACAAGCTTAATTATATAATTATACAAAAATATATAAACCTGATTTGTGAGATTGGGAGGTAGGGTATTTTCATGAACCTTACCTACACATTCAGTGGTGAAGAAAATAAACAATGCGTGCACTATCCAAGTCTGCAATGCCAACATCTTGCATTAGATATTTCTGTAAAAGACACATATAGTATTATTTTTATTATTTTTTCTCTTATTACACATAGTAAGTAAAGACACAATTCCTAACACTTTTGTTTCCACTGGATAGCTGTCTTCTAAAAGGTGGTAAAATTTTATGAGAATGCAGAAAACAAATTTAAGTCTTCAAAATATTTTTCTTTATTCCCACTGGAGTTATGGCTATGTAAAATAGTGATGGAACACAACTTATACTTTAAGGTTAATTAAAAGAGCAATCCTGTTTCTTTATTATGTGAAGACTTATACTATTAGTAAATGCTGTGTGAGACAGTACTTCAGAGAGACAAATTTCTACGTGCCAAAACCCACCAAAAGCAACCTCAAAAGATATTTGCAAAATGGAAAAAAAAAGTCTGTAATTCATACCATGACCAAAAATATCCCCTACTATATGAAGAATGTCTACAAATCACTAGAAAATTCCAACACCTAGTAGAAAAACTAGCAAGGTGAGCTGAATAGGCAATTTATAGAAAAGAATATACAAATTATTTAAAACATATGAAATGATACTTTCAACCTCACTCATAATGAGAGGTGCAAATTAAACTACCCCAGAGAGGAATGCAAGATGATACAGACACTTTGGAAAACAATTAGGCAGTTCTTTACCAAGTTAAATGTACATAATAATAATCCGTATTTCTACTCCGAAGAATGTATCCAAGAGAACTAAAAATACATGTCCACATGAAGACTTATATTCAAATGGTCATAGCAGCTTTATTCGTAACAGTCCCAAACTAAAAACAACCCAAATGTCTATCAACTGGAGAACGGATAAACAAATACCCAAACAATGGTATATCCATACAATAGAATACCACTCAGCAATAAAAGGGAATGAATTAGTGATATATGCAATAGCATGAATGAGAATGAATTTCAAAAGCATTAGCTGAATAAAGTAAGACACACAAAACAGACTATGTACTGCTGAATTCCATTTACAGGGTATTTGACAAATGGCACAACCAGGGTGACAGAAAGCAGATCAGGGGGCTGGCTTAGGCTGAAGTGGAAAAGGGGAATAAATGTAGAGGCACAAAAGAACTTTCAGGGGTGATAGGAATGTTCCATGACCTGATTAGGGTAGTGATAAAACTCTATCTGTCAAAATTCACTAAATTGTGTCAAGAATTATGAAAGCACTGAGATTTTACCCTACTTGCAAGCGAACAAGTTAGTCTGCTAGTCCCATGGATACTGGCAGAAGACATGAGACTCCTGTGTCAGAGACAAACGACCTTATTACTCATACCAGGAGCAGCATTTTCAGAGTTATCAGCATTTTTTTGTGCCAGCTGCCTAGGCCCCAATTCCGACAGAGCATTGTGAAGAGGGACTGGTAATGCCTGTACACACAGTGGGTCATGTTATAGGAGGGAAGACTGAGCTTAAGAGACCCAGATCTTTTAAAATGGCAGTAAGCATGCCTGCCTTTTACTCTGGAGAGAGACACTATCTCTGTTTTCCAAGGCTGTAAACAAACCTTCAAGAGACGTATGGGGAATTGTTTCCTAACAAATTGTACACTAAAAATTGATGAATTTTATTCTTTATAAATTAAACCTCAATTAAAAACCAACAAAATGTACCCAGGCAAGGTATATAGTCAAAAGAAATGAGTGCTTCACTCCTCTAAAAGACATGTACAAGAACGTTCATACAAGTTTTATTTAAGTACTGAAAAGCAGAAGCAACCAAAAACACAAACACAGTAGAACAGAAAAATTCAAGTAACTCAATCATAGCAATGAAAAAAGAATTACAGGTACTCACAACATGACTGAATTTCCTATATAACAGAGAAGAAATGAGACACAAAAATGTATATGAAGTTCAAAATCAGGCAAATGTAATCTGTGGTGATAGAGAATAGTGGTTATCTTTTTTGGGGGGTGGGGAAGAGGGCAGAAGTGAGCATTCTGGGATGCTGGACATGCTCTATACTTTGAACTAGATGGTGATTAAAAATTTACTGAGCTATAAACTTGTGATCTGTGGACTTTATTGTATGTAAGTTGTACTTAGTAAAAACAGTAAACAAAACAAAATGACCCTCATATCATTTCCAGTTTTGGCAAAAATATAAAAAATAAAAAATTATCAACACAGTATTTTGAGACTATGACATAAAGGCATTCTCAACTCTGCATTTATAGTGTAAAATGGCATAACCTTCCCAACAAACTGTGGGAATTTAAAACTGAATTTTATTGTTTGTAAATTAGAGTTCAATTATAAATAAAAGAACTATCCAGATAAGGTGTATGCCCAGTTTTGCATTATCGATCAAAATTAAAATATATATACGTTTGAATCTAATGATTCTACTTCTAGTATGTTATCCTATAGATATGAGCAAAACAATACACAAATAGGGTTATTCACTACAGCAGTTTTTAATAATAAAAGATTGATGCACAAATAGGGGACTAGTTAAATTATGGTACATCCAAATATAGCATACATGTAGCTACAAAAAAGATGAGGAAGTTCTAGATCTCTTCCTAGAGAGGTGTAAAGATATCTAAAATACATAAATAAATAAAATAAACTATGGTTAAGGAAGAGAACAGTGTATTTGTTATTTGTGGGGAGAAACCAAAAAAAGACAAAACACACACTCATTTCCTTATACACACATAAAATACCTCTAGAAGGATAAAAACTCAAAGACTGGCTACCACTGGATGAGATACCAGGGTAGGATGGAGATGCTCTACCATATATTCTTTGCACCTTGCCAATGTTGTACCATGTGACTTTAGTACTTAGTCAAAAACTAAATTTAAATTAAAAAATATTTGTGTAAACTCTCTCCCCCAAATAAAACTATGAACTTCTTGATGAGGGCTTCACAGTACTGCATTTGGAATACAGTGGTTTTTTTATTAAATATCAATACTAACTTGACTTTATGTACTCCCTACCCATGTAACAGTCACTCTATAATTTGCTCAGGATAAAATGAAGTTGTAGGAACCATTTTCCTCCACCTGTTTTATTTACTTCCTAACTTTAAATAGTCCCATATTAGAAAAATCCACATCATTCAACTGTTCATCAAAAACAAAATGAAGAAAATACCTGAGCATGCTGGGAGAGCAGTATGTGGTCATGCCACCCTGACCACCCACACCAAGTACCTTGTTCACACTGTAGAGAGGATTCTCTATAGTTCCTGGAAACTGGCAATCTTTTTATTGATGCACTATATTCTTAGAACAAAACTCTGACACAAGAGGTCCCATAAAAGTATTTATAGTTACCACAAAGCAATGAGATTTATCTAAGCAGGGCCATGAAACACAGTATGTAAAAGGAAAACAGGCAAAGAAGGTTTCACATTTTAATAGTTAGAAAGTAACGTTTCCTGGGACGCCCAGGTAACTCCATTGGTTAAGCGTCAAGCACCTGCCTTCAGCTCAGGTCATGATCCCAGGGTCCTGGGATTGAGCCCTGAGTCAGCTCCCTGCTCAGTGGGGAGTCTACTTCTCCCTCTCCCTATGTCCCTCCCCCTGCTTATGTGCAGGCTCTCTCTCTCAAATAAATAAAATCTTAAAAAAAAAAAAAAAAGTAACGTTTCCTAATTTTTAAAGGATTGTCATTGAGATGTGATGAAGAAACATCTTTTCAGAGTCCCAACCTAAGAGATGGAAACACAGTAGCACTATCTAAAATACTAAATGCAATATAGTCAACTTCATTTTGGGGCTTATCTTGTTTTAAAATGGACAGAATTGACAGTATACTGCCAAAAGAGAGGAACACCTCTCTTTTCATTTTGACAACAGTACACATTATCCTCCCGCATCTCTGGCAGAATTTTCCATGCATATATTATAACCACATATTGCATACAATGATTTTCCTTGAAATTTGCATCTTATCTTGGAAGATTCTATGAAACCAAAACGTAACTACTAAGCAGAGATACAGGGAAGGTTTATTGCAAGCACTGAGTGGTCCTTCTAGAGTGGCAATTCCTCAACTATGGTGGTTCAACACGGTAATGTGCTGAAAGGTGCTGTAAGATGCATCACAACTAATTCACTATTGTTAAAGTAATAAAGTTTACAAATGATTAAAAAAATTAAAACAAATCAAGATTATCCCTGTAGTTGATCATTCTTATTCATTTTCATTCCCATGAATTTTCTTTAGTGGGAGAAAATGCACTGGAGTTATAACTGATAAATATTTAATAGTTTTGCCCTTTATAAATTCTTTTTGCTACTTATAGATTATGATTTTTGAGTCTTTCTTTTTACTTTGATGCAAGGACAAAATGAAAAATCATGAGTAATATATTTAGATGTAGACTTCATGGGAGGAAGAATGTCAATATAAACTTAGTTACTATGGTAACATTACTCCTATAATTGTAGAACTACTAGTAGATGAACTACAATAGCCAAAAAGAAGGCAAAGTAATGTCTGTTGAATAAATAAACTGGGTAGGGATCAGGATGAGGAAAATTTCAATATGGTATCATGTATACACATTATAGTGCTAGTTTGAATAAATTTGCAAAGAGTCAGTCACACCTACATTATATTAACTATTATTTTAAAAATTATCCAACTCTGCTCTCTTCTGTTATTACTAATTATTAATTCATAGTAACACTTTGTATGCTATTTTACATTACACAAGTGCTTTTATGTAAATTACTTCACCTGATTCTCCTAATATCCTAGAGATGGAGGCTGGTAGGGCAGGAATCATTATTTTATTATTTTAAGAGTTTATATTTTTAGAACAGTTTCAGGCTTAAAATGAAATTGAGAGGAAGATACAGAGAATTCCCACATACCCTCTGCCCCCACACATGCACAGCCTCTCCTATTATCAGTATCACTCACCGGAATGGTACATTTTACCAAGGATGAACCTACATTGACACACTTTAACCACTCTAAGTCTGTAGTTTACCTTAGTGTCCACTCATGGTGTTGTACATCCAATGGGTTTCGAATGGCAAGGATTAATTACTGGAACTTCACAAAAGAAAAATTCTGACAGGTTAAGTTACTTACCCAAATCACAAAATTAGGAAGTGAAGAAACAGGGACTTGAAACTAAGTCTTCTGCCTCCAAAAGTCATGCTCTTTTTATTAGGTCTCACTATAAAGAGAGGAGAGCCTTGTTCAGAAAGCTGGCTTGGATAATAATATGCATTCTTCTTAAATCCTTGCCTGCTGTAAGCCTTCCTGAAAGTGTCCCGTTTTAGATACCTTCTGACCCTCAGTATAAAACAATCCCATAAACACTTATATAACAATATTTAAACATCCCACTGTTGTTTTGAGGAAATACTTGGAAACATTATCAGCCCCTCCATGCCTACTTCAAACTTCCCTGATGTTCATGTAGTATCACAGAAACATGAAAGGGACATTTTGTTGACTCTGACAAAAGCAGTTAAAGCAAATCTTTAAGAGAATCATATCTTTTACCTTTCACTAGCAGTTAAGGCTACTGACTCTTCAACTGCCGTACTATTTTATGCACACAGACATAAAAATTCAGTTTAAATTTCAGTACTAGGTTAAATTCTAGTGTAAATAATGGTGGTTCCTCTTTGAAATGTAAATGATAACTTCAAACTCAGGCAAGGAGTGAATCCTCCATTACTGTTTCACACATATTAAGCCTTTGATATAATTTAATAATATATAAGAAAGAAATTAAATTTACAATGATATATTAAAATGCAAAAGAAATAATTAAGTTTTCAAATGAAGAGAAGTTGAAAATATATCATGTAGAAGTCCCCTATAATCCCAGCAAGGTAACTAATGTGAACAATTTGGTGGATACTTTTGCAAAATTTTCTATTTATATATTATAACATTATATTGTATAAATATATACTTTTACAAAAATGGGATCACAAAAATGTGCTATAACTTGTTTTCACTTACTACATTTGGATATATTTCTAAGTCAATACATAAAAATTAATTCTACTTATAGCATTTGTTCAAATTTACTTTCTCATATAGGTCTTCCCTGACCACCCAGTATTGCTTATCCCCCTTTCCTATTTTTTCTCAATGGCACTTAGCACTTTCTAAAATGACTTGGCAAACATTTCCTGTAAAGGGCCAGATAATAAATATTTTAAGTTTTGTGGCTATTAAGGTCTCTGTTGCAACTAGTCGACTTTGTTACAGACAGTATGTAAACAAATGGGCATGGCTGAATTCTAATAAAACTATTTATTAAAGTATTTATTAAAATAGGATGGTCTGCAGACCATAGTTTGCCAACCCCTGCTCTAAAATAGTTTACTTATTTTATTGGCTGTCATGGGTTGAATTGGGTTTTCCTCCCTAAAGATATGCTGATGTCCTAACCCTCAGCATCTCATAATGTGACCCTGTTTGGAAATAGGGCTGTGGCTGATGTAATTAGTTAGGATGTCATAAAGGAGCAGAGTGGGGCCTTAATACAGTATGACTGGTTGTTGTTATGAAACAGAAACAAACAGGCACAATGCTGTGTGACAACACAAGCAGGTACTGGAGTGATGTAGCTATAAACTAAGAAATGCCAAGGACTAACTAAGGGCTACCACCAGGAGCTATGAAAAGGAAAGGAATGATTCTATCCAGAGTTTCAGAAGGACTTCTGGCCTCCAGAACCTTAAGAGAATAAACTCCTGTTATTTTAAATCACCCAGTTTGTGGCACTTTGTTACAGCAGCCCTGGGAAACTAACACATTGTCTGTGCACCTAAAACAGAATGTTAGCAAGTTAGGCAAGAAATTTTGTCTGTTTTGTTCCCTCCTATCTTCCAACCATCAAGAATCACACCCAGCATAGTAAGCACCTCAGTATCTTTGTTGGATAGATAAACTGACTTTCTTGCTGTAAACAGGTGCATAATATATTAGTGGAATAAATATACTGTAATAAAACTAGTTCCAAGTCTTTGTATGGGCATAAGCTTTCATTTCTCTTGGGAAAATACCTAGACGACTAGCTAGGTCATATCTATGGTAGGTATATATTCATATTCTTCTTTGGTGATGTGTCTGTTCAAATATTTTGCTCGTTTTTAGACTGGGTGTGTTGTTTTCTCAGTATTATGTTTAGAAAGTTTTAAAAAATAAAATTCTAGATACAAGGTCTTTATTAGAAAATCCTTTTTTAAGTATTTTCTCCCAATCTGTGGCTTATCTTCCCATTCTTTTACTGTGCTTTTTTAAACGAAATTTATGACTTTATTATTTATTTATTTATTTTTAGATTTTATTTATTTATTTGAGAGAATGAGAGAGAGAGAGCACATGAGAGGGGGGAGGGTGCACATGCTGAGCAGGGAGCCTGATGCGGGACTCGATCCTGGGACTCCAGGATCATGACCTGAGCCGAAGGCAGTCGCTTAACCAACTGAGTCACCCAGGCGCCCTTTTACTGTGCTTTTTAAAGAGCAGAAATTTTCATTTTAATCGAGTCCAATTTATTAACTAGTACTTCTGGTATTGTATCTAAGAAATCCTTGCCTAACCCAAAGTCTCAAAGGTCTTCTATATTTTCTAGCTAAAAGTTTTATAGTTTTAGGTTTTATTAGGTCTATCAACTATTTTGAGGTAATTTTTATATATGGTGTAAATCAGGTATTCAAGTTCATTTTGTTACATATGGGTAGCAAATTGTTTCTGAACTATTTGTAGAAAAGCTACCCTTTCTCAAGTGAATTGTCTTTACACTTTCATCAAAAATCAGTTATCCATACATGTGTGGGTCTATTTATATACTCTCTATTCCATGGTCGGGCAAACTTTTTATGTAAAGGGCCAGAGAATAAATGTTTTAGGCTTTGTAGACCACAATGCTTCTGTTGGAACTACACCATCTGCTGTTGTAGCACAAAAGCAGACACAGATAATATATAAACAAATGGGTGTCGCTGTGTTCTAACAATACTTTCCAAAAATAGGAGGCACCCTGGAGTTTACCTGTGAGTTCTAATTACCCAATTTCTGCTCTGTTCTGTTCCATTGATCTATTTACTTTTAAGTATTGAAATCAATGTTCTGTTTGGCCAGCATGGCTACTGCTGGATGGAGTATTATATAAATGTCAATCAGACCAATCTGGTTGATAGTGTTATTCAAATCTTCTATATCTTTAGTCATTTTCTGTCTATTTCCTCTATCAATTATTGAAAAGGGGGTTTGATATCCCCAAATATAACTGTAGCTTTATTTATTTCTTCTTTCAGTTCTGTCAGATTTTGCCCTATTTTGAAGCTACATTATTAGGCACATAAATGTAAGGTCTTGAGGAAGCGATTCTTGTTATCATTGTGCAATGACTTTCTTTACCAATGGTCATATTCTTGGCTCTGAAATCTACTTTGACATCATTATAGACATCTAATCTTCTCTTCCATTAGAGTTATCATGGTATATCTTTCCCCATTCTTTTATATTTTACCTATTTCTTTCTTCATATTTAAAGAGCCTTGTTTTTTATGTTCTGTTTTGGTAGGTAGCGTACAGTTGTATCTAATCTGACAACCTCTGCTTTCAGGCCACTTATATTTAATATCATTATTGATATAGCTAGGTTTAAAGCTATCATCTTTAAATTCTTTTTTTTTTTAAGATTTTATTTATTTGCGAGAGAGAGAATGAGAGACAGACAGCATGAGAGGGAGGAGGGTCAGAGGGAGAAGCAGACTCCGTGCTGAGCAGGGAGCCCGATGTGGGACTCAATCCCGAGACTCCAGGATCACGACCTGAGCCGAAGGCAGTCGCTTAACCAACTGAGCCACCCAGGCGCCCTAAAGCTATCATCTTTATATTTGTTTTCTACCTATTTGATCTCTGTTCTCCCTCTTCTTCTATTTCTGTCATTTGTGTTAAGTGACTATTTTTTATGATTTCCATTTTGTCTTTCTTTTTGGCTTATAAGCTATTAATTCTTTGTTTTGTTATCTTAGTGATTACTTTGAGATTTATAGTATACATCTTAAACTTATCAGTCTACAGCACCTCACGCACAGTAAAGTATACTAGAGTATACATCCATTTCTCCCCTCTGGATCTTTACGCTATTTTTGGCATACAACTTACTTTTACATATTTTATAAACTTCAGATGTACTTTATATATGTTGTAAACCATACTGTCATTGTTTTTGTTTAAATAATTATTTTAAAAGAGATTTCAATAATACAAATATCTTGTGTATACATCCATGTCTACTACCATTTCTAGAGCTTCTCACCCTTTGTCTAAGGTCTACATTTTCATCTAATATTTTCCTTCTGTCTGAAGGATATTATTTTATTATTATTTGTAATGTGGGTCTACTGGTGATGGATTCTTTAAGTTTCTATATACCTAAAAATATTTCATTATTATTTTTCATAGATATTTTCACTAGGTATAGATTCTCAATTTTTCTTTCAGTACTTTAAAAATGTAGCTATTAAGTTCTTGCATGCACTGTTTCTAATGAGAAATCTACTATCATCCTTATCTTTCTTCTTTTGTATGAAAAGTCTCTTTTCTCCTCTGGATGCATATAAGTTTTTTACAACTAGTTTACCACTAATTTTGAGCAATCTGACTGTAATGCACCTTGGTAAAGTTTTCGTCATGTTTCTGGTGCTTAAGAGTTTGTTGAACTTCTAGGATCTGCTGGTTTAAATAGTTTTCATCAAATCTAGAAAAATTGTGGCCATTATTTCTTTGAATATATTTATCTGTGACCCTCGTGCTCCTACCCTTGAGGATTCTAATAACATGTATTATTAGGATGCTTGAAGTAGTCCCCCAGCTCACTGCTCAATCCACTTTTTCCTTTTTTTCTATGTTTTATGATAATTTCTACTGCTGTGTCTTTAGGTTTACTGATCTTTTTGTCTGCAATGTCTAATCTACCATGAATCCTAACTTGTGTATTTTTCATTTCACACATCATATTTATCATCTCTAGAGGTTTAACTGGGTCTTTTTCACATATTCTATAATTCTACCTAACTTTTTGAACATATAGGATGCAGTTATAATAACTTTTAATTTCTCTGGTAATTCTAACATCTATGTCAGCTCTGGGTTAGTTTTAATTAATTTTTCTCATTATACATTGTACTTTCAAGCCTCTTACATGCCTGGTAATTTCTGATTGGATATTGCACACTGAATTTCACCTTATTTGCTACTGGATCTGTATTGGATTTTTTTGTATTTCTATAATCTTTTCTTTTTAAAGATCAATTGGGCCACCCAAACGCCCCTGTATTTCTATATTCTTGAACTTTGTTCCAGGACACAGTTAAGTTACTTGGCAAAGTATGGTCCTTTCATGTCTTGCTTTTAAGATACACTGGTAACTAGGTATTTACCTGAAGAATACAAAAATATTAATATAAAGGGATACATGCACCCCTATGTTTACAGTAGCATTATCTTTAACAGCCAAATCATGGAAATAGCCCAAGTGTCCACTGACTGATGAATGGATGAAGGAGATGTGTGTGTGTGTACATACACATATGTATATATGTATACACACACACACTGGAATATTACTCAGCCATCAAAAAGAATGAAATCTTGCCATTTTCAATGACGTGGATGGAACTGGAGAATATTATGCTAAGTGAAATAAGTCGGAGAAGACAAATACCACGATTTCACTCATATATGGAATTTAAGAAACAAAACAAAGGGGAAGAAAAGAAAGGCAAAGAAACAAACTTAAAAAAAAAAGATCTATTTATTTGAGAGGGAGGCAGAGGGAGAGGGAGCAGACCCCTTGCTGAGCAGGGAGCCTGATGGAGGGCTTGATCCTGGGACCCTGAGATCATGACCTGAGCCGAAGGCAGATGCTTAATTGACTGAGCCACCCTGGCGCCCCCCAGACTGTTAACTATAGAAAACAAACTAATGGTTACCAGAGGAGAGATGTGTGGGGGGATGGGTGAAATAGGTGATGGGGATTAAGAAGTGCACTTGTGACGAGCACTGGGTGTAGTATGGAAGTGCTGAATCACTATATTGTAAACCCGAAATTAGTATCATGTTCAAATCCCAGGAATTTAAACAAAAACTTAAAATATACTGGGTGGGATTGGAGCAATGCTTATTCTAGGGTGATTTGTTTCCTACTACTGAGGCAGAATCCTTCTTTGTCTCTATCCAATATCCCATGAGTCAAATGGTTTCCAACCTGGCTGGTGAGGACAGGAACCTTTCCTGACCCAATGGAAGCACCAAGTGCTGTTATCTTTACCACCTCCAGGAGGTTCTTTCCCTGGTCTGTAGTAATTTCTTTACATGCATGCACTGGTCAGCACTCAGGTAAATAGCTGAATAGGACCTCTGAAGCTTTCAAGAGTCCTCTAGTATTCTGCTTTGTGAACTCTAGCTCCTTTGGTATTCCCAGCCATTTCCACAGGTCAAAGAGAATCCACAGAGCTTACCTTGGATTACCCCGACCTGTGCCATGGCCTGGAAACTTTCTCAAGGTAGTAGGCTAGTGCAATCATAGGGTCCATCTTATTTGTTTCCCATCTATCAAGACCACTGCCTTTCATTATCCAGTGTCAAGTGTCTTGATTATCACTGTTTCATGTGTTTTTTTGTTTTATGGTTGTTTCAGTCAGAAGGGTAAATCTTATCCTCCTCATCCCATTTTGGCCCTAAGTGCAAGTTGCCTAGTCATTTGGATACCAAATCAAGCAAGAATTACATGATAAAACTATTGTCAAACTATTACACATATTGGTGTGACAAATCCTAATTAAAGCATTTGCAAATTAATTTTAGCAACATACATGAAAACAAAAAACCCCATAAATACTAACAAGTATTAAGCCTAAAAATAGGGGCGCCTGGGTGGCTCAGTCGGTTATGCATCTGCCTTGGGCTCAGGTCATAATCCCAGGGTCCTGGGATGGCGCCCCAAGTCAGGCTCCTTGCTCAGCGGGGAGTCTGCCTCTCCCTCACCCTCTACCCCTCCCCCCACCCTGCTCGTGCTCTCTCTCCCTCTCGAATAAATTAATTTAAAAAATCTTAAAAAAAAAAAAAAAGCCTAAAAGTATAAGTATGGTCCATTAAGCAAAAAGATAAAATATTACCCACTGTATTAAGAAAACTATACAATCATTCCAATAGATGCTTGAAAATCATCTGATAATATTCAACAGCTGTTCACTTAAAATTTAAAAATAACAACAAAGTGTCAAAAAAAACAAAGACTGAAAGAGACCATCCTTATCTTGATGCAGTGTAACAAAGAAGAGGATAGATTCTGGAATCAGACTGTCTTTGTTCAAATCCCAATATCTTAGCCAAGTTATTTGATATCCCTCACTTTCATTTTCCTTATCTGTAAAATGAGGATAACACCACCACCTACCCACATACCACCTAGGACTTTTGTGAAGATTAAATAGTCAATAAACATAAAGCACTTACAATTTACCTGGCTCATAGTATGTACTCAATAAATGGTAATCTGTTGCTATCAGTGCAGCTCTTGCTGTTGCTGCCACAATCCGTTATCAGAAACCTAGAGCAAACATCATATTCAAAAATAAAAATTAGAAGCATTTCTATCAAAGTCAAAATTCAAACAAGATGCTTGGAGTCATCACTTATTCAACACTGTTCTAGATGGCTTAACCAAAAATAGAACAAATGATGATATAAAAATGGAAAAAGAAAAGCTTATAGATGATATTATCTATTAAGAAAAAGAATGAGAATCAAATGACAAACTACCACAACTACTGAGCGTTTAACATAATAGTTAAACAAAAGATCATCAAAAAACGTAGCTCTCCTATATACCAGGAATAACCAATTAAAATGTAAAAGAAAAAATCCTATTCACAACAGCATCAAAAACTATAATAACTAAGAAAAAATCTAATCAGAACTATGTAATAACTTTATACAGAAAACTATAAACCCTTACTAAACAGCTCATCAGTTAAGACTTAAATACCATGGAATGGAAAACAAAATATACATAGTACAGACATTGGTTCTTCACAAATTACTATCTTCATGTAACACAATTTAATCTAAATTACAAAGTAGTTTATTATAGAACTTTACAAACCAATTTAAAACGTCATATAAGACATTAGATAATAACCAAAAGCCCATTTTCAAAAGGAAGAATAAAAAAATACTTGCCCTATCATCTATTAAGGCACACCGCAACATTACAGTAATTAAGACAGGGCACTGTGAGTAATTTGATCAATGGTATAAAACAAAAAATCCAGAAACAGACCCATATATATTTAAGAATTTAATCATCTGATAAAAAAAAAAAGCACCTCATATCACTGGGGAAATAAAGGACCATTTAATAAATAGTACTGGGACAACTGGCTCCACAAGCAAAAAGATGAAGAGTTCTACTTCATCACACATACATACACTCCAGATTAAGGATCTTTAGATTTCAAGTATGGGAAGAAAATACAGAGTTATGTTTATGACCTTAGAGTCAGGCAAGTCCCCCTACACATTATCACTGACTGTTTTAGACATACGAAAAGGTTTAAAGAGTATTTTGATGACGATTTACGTTCCCACTACAGCTTAAGAAATAAAACATAACACATATAGTTGAAGCCAAATAAACAGGTCTTGCTCTTAAGAAGTTTAAAATTTAGGGCGCCTGGGTGGCTCAGTTGGTTAAGCGACTGCCTTCGGCTCAGGTCATGATCCTGGAGTCCCTGGATCGAGTCCCGCATCGGGCT